ATATATAAAAATTTAGAACATGCACCACAAACTACAGGCAACTGGAATGTTCTCTGGTAAAACGTGTTATGTATTAGATATTTTTGTTTATTTTATGTAATGTCCATTTGGAATAGCGTTGTGTAAATACTTTTGTTTGGGAAACAGGTTTGGAAACTCAGATGTCCGAGTTTTCCACGTGTCCTTAAACGCACCGTACATTCGTGGATCGTGGACTTTTGAGAGTGCGGAAAAACACTCTCAAAAATCCGTGTGTGCGCGGAAGGTGATTCGTGTGTGTTAGACGATCCACGCATGCGTAGGTAACAATGTGTACGTACTTTCTAAAGAACTGCACACGAAAAATCGATTTTAAGCATTTGTAAAATGTGTTTTATGTGCAGTTTGTACAGCATGCATTTGTGATCCTCATGACACACACACACACACAAATCGCTTGTTACAGACAAAACGTTAAACACGCATTTGTAACATTTTTGATAGTATTTTATCTCCATACTTCTCCTTCAGACTGTTATGTTTGACACTCTGTGAGAGTTCGCTCCTTTCAGCAGAAATAAATGCGCATCAGCCTTCATAGTTGGTATTAAGTTTTTCATTTTGCACTCACCAAACCTTAATAAGACAATTTTTGCCACAACACCTGACATACAGTACGTTAAAGCTGCTTTTAACTCCTTCATTCAAAATTTAAAATACATAAAAATGAATGATAAAGATCAGTTACACATACATCATTTTGAGCAGTAACATTTCTGAGACACATTAGGTTAATTGTGAATACTTGCTTTGCTTGACAGAAACATGATAATCCACCCATATCAGAAGTTCAAATGTGTTTGTCTTTTTGCTGCTTGCAACTAATAATCCTTTAAAAGCCAGCATATTGCACTTGGCAACATGGCAGACACATAATATAGTGCACTAGTGAGTAGGGAGTGATTTCGGACATAGTTGTTTGCTTTGGTGTTCCCCAGAGATAGAGGTTTTGTTCCACTTCTCAATCTCCTCACTTCCTTCCTTCCTTCCTCGCTAGTACAGCATGAGCATGAAGGTCAAACATGCAGAGCACTGGCTCAACAGCCTTTTTATTTCTTTTCAGTTTGAATGAGTGGAGCAGAGATAGCAGAGTTGGACTGGCAATATATACATCAATACAGTGCCAAATAGTGTCAGGCTGTAACAGAAGGAATGTGTTTGGAGTTTGGAATATTTTTACAAATTTTATGTTAATACAATCAAGTGTGAGTTAGATTAAAAAAAAACTAGTATAAAGTGAATAAATAACAGGAAGGTTTGCAAGGCCCTGTGTGAACTTGATGTGGGAGGCCTTGACATGCTTCTGGTTAAATTGTGCAACAAGGTTTTATTGGCACTGAAGATAGAATGGATTCATAGCTGGTACTAGATATACAGTTTTGACTCAGGGAAACACATCTTGACAGGGGAACGTATTTCGACACAAGAGTCACTGTATGGGATGTTGACATTGAGAACAACTTTTTTTTTTTTTTTTACTTAATTGTCCTTCAAGGCAAACATTTCCTGCACAAATGCCATTTTGAAGAAAACAAAAAACAACTCCTGATTCCTGTCTTTTTGTAATTACATGGAATTCTACATAACAGCTATTTCCTCTTCTAACATTGCAAAAGCTTTGAAGAATTCTATGCTGTCAAAAATATCAGCTCTTTATTAAGAATATGTAGCTTTCCCTTTATTTTTTTTATTGATTTTATTTATTTATTTTATTATTGTATCGCCCTTGGCAGTGTTATGTTGTGTTGTCTTTATATTGTATCTTTATTCTGTGAAATAAAGTTATAAAAAAAAGACACAAGACCGGAAGCAGCGCCATTTCCGCTTTTTGACGCGCGAAGAAGAAAATGCCGCGAGAGTGAGTGAAGCTTGTTTTTGCTACAACCCGTTTTCATCGAGTTTAACGTGACTGTGTGGATTGTTTGAAAGAAACGTAGTAGGCTGTTTTACTATTGAACCTAAACTAACGGTGAGTTATGGCCAACTTACTCCTGATGACACTGCATCAACAAATGCTGAAGTTTATGTTAGTTGAGATAACTTTAAGGCTACTGTCTAAATTAGCTAACATTAGTTCTGACACCGGACCCTTGTGGAATAGGTGCTCGCATCCTTTACCTGGGTAGAAGTACTAATACGACACTGTAGAAGTACTCCATTACGAATAAAGGTCTTAAACTGAAAATATCACTATATTAAAAGTAGTTGTGTAACATGAAAATGTACTTAAAGTGCGGAGAAATGTAAACATTACAGTTGTATGCTGAAGTTGGTCCATCTCTAGGTAAATGGCATTTTGTTCATTCTTTTAAGTGAAATGAAGTAAATGCCACCCCTGCAGGAGTGGCATTTACTTTACTTCGTCAATTGTGGCATGTATGTGCACCTATAAAGCACTCAGAACTTCATTAACTTGTTAGTACTTGTAAGTCAGGTCAAGAATTGGCAGCTGATGACATTTGCAGGGATGATCAGCTGTCTGACTCGTCAACCCTTGCGGTAACGGTACAGTAAAAAGATTTAAGAAAAGTGCTTCCATCGTGGAATTTCCACTGTCTGAAATGTCATTAAGAATTGGCAGCTAAGGGAAACTGTGAAGGTCAGGATGAGAGCTGGAAAACCAAATGTCTACAGGACAAAAAGGTAGAGCAATAGCTTATATGAATCAGGAATGGTGGGAAATGTCATTGGTCAAGTAAAGAAAGTGAAACTGAAAAGAAGTTGGCTTCTGCAACAACATAATGATCCAGAGTATGCTTTAAAATGCACCATGAACTACTTCAGTGAACACAAGTTGAAGCTTCTGGAATGCCCCCCCTGACTTGACAATAATTGAAAATTTGAACCCAGAACCTGGAATGAGTCAAAATTGCTTAATTGTGCATAGAAAGACTCTTAGTTGTGGCTATAGGAGGTGTTTGCAAGCTGTGATATCTTTCACAGGGGCAGCAGGGATAGTACACTGCCTAGCCTTTTTCATGAAATCAAAACGTAACAGCCAAAGATAAAAGATGAAAGAAAGGTTTAATTTCTGTACTGCAGGTGTGTGTTTACTTCTTTTTATTCTGCAAAATATGTAAGTTGCCTAGGGGCAAAGAATAATCTGTTTTACCATCATATTTTCTATACGGAACATGCACTCAGTTGTTAGGGTGATTCAATATAAAGGTCCAGCAATAAATCCTTCCTTAATGTATTGCTCAATTAAAGCCTACCTTTTTTTCCCCTGGACCCTATCCCCACCAGGATAATTAAGGAGGCTATTGATGCTGTTGCTCCTTCTGGTCGCGTTTATAAATTGCTCCCTCAGCTCAGGCACGGTCCCCACTGCACTTAAGCACGCTATGGTGACTCTACTCCTAAAGAAGCCAAATCTTGATCCCACGGCATTTTCCAATTTCCGCCCAATCTCTCGCTTGCCTTTTCTGTCAAAAATTTTGGAGAAAATTGTCTCCACACAGGTACAGGTGCACTTAGATAAACTCGGTTTTGCTGATAAGTTTCAATCGGACTTTAAACCTCGTCATAGCACAGAATCTGCACTACTGAGAGTCCATAATGACATTGCTATGGCACTCGATTCTAAGCGTTCCATTATCTTAGCTCTTTTAGACTTATCTGCAGCCTTTGACACTGTGGACCACAAAATCCTCCTCTTCTTGTTGGAACACCATATAGGCTTAAAAGGTATAGTTTTGAGTTGGTTCACCTCTTTTCTGACAAATAGGTTGTTTTCTGTCACTATTGGTGATTCTTCCTCTTCTGGTGCTCCCCTCTCATCTGGCGTCCCCCAAGGCTCGGTTCAAGCCCCGCTCCTTTTTTCTTTATACATGTTCCCCCTTAGTTCAATTATGTGGAAATATAATATCAATTTTCACTTCTATGCCGATGATATTCAGATCTACATGCCATTAATACAATGCGACGCGAACGCTCTTACTCCGTTGCTCAACTGTATTTGAGATATTAAACTCTGGTTATCTCAAAACTTTCTCCGCTTAAATGAGAGCAAAACGGAGTACATCCTCTTTAGCTCCGATTCGGCCGCCCCCACTTCAAATTTAGGTCTTTTTTATATCTTTATTTTCTGATACAGTAAAAAAAATCTCGGAATAACATTCGATAACCGTCTTAATTTTGACAAACAAGTCAGCTCCGTAGTCAAAACCAGTTTCTTCCGTCTGAGACTTCTAGCTAAGGTGAAGCCCTTCCTATCTCGTACAGACTTAGAAAAGGCCATTCATGCATTTATCACCTCTCGACTTGACTATTGCAGTGCTCTCTACATTGGAATTTCTCAGTCTCTTCTGTGGAAGCTCCAATTAGTCCAAAATGCTGCGGCCCGCCTTTTGCCAAACGCCCCTAGATTCGCTCACATTACTCCCATTTTGTTTTCTGTGCACTGGTTAGCTGTAAAATAAAGGGTTGATTTCAAGGTATTATTTGTGTTTAAATCTATTCATGGTCTCTCCCCCCCCTTACCTTTCTGATCTTGTGACTGTTACTCCAACCAGAAATTTGCATTCCTCTGAACATTTCCTTCTGGTCGTCCCACGGTCTCACTATAAGATGTGGGGCGATTGGTCTTTTGCTGTTTTTCGGCCTTAAGCTCTAGAACTCATTGCCTCCAGAGCTTCGATCGCAAGCTGATCTAGCCTCCTTCAAGTCTGTTTTAAAAACTTATTTCCTCCGACAGGCGTATGCTCCTTAAATTGTTTCATGTCGTTTACTGTTTTAAATAGTTTGTTTTATTTGCTTTTAGGTTTTATATAAATTCTGTGTAGGCATTGTTGGTTTGGGATATGTATGTGAAGCACTTTGTGCCCTTTTATGAGCTGTAAAGTGCTATACAAATAAAGTTATTATTATTAATGTTCAGTTTTTGTCAAACTCTTTTGCAGGCATAATTCAAATGTATGATTATTTTGAAGGATGTAGTTTGTGGCGATGTTAAGTTATAGTGTTGTATTGAAAAGTGATTTTATTAATTTTCCCACACACTAAGCAACACAAATATGTTTTTGAACATTGCATGGTTTCTGTACAGGTTGAAGAGTGAGAGGAGGACCAAAGATCAAGCATCCATTGTGCTGAAAGTGTCCTTGAGCAAGTCACTGAATTTCCACCAGCTTTAGGGTGCGGCAGTGTAACAGTCAGGATGAAGAAGTGGGGAGACAGAGTGAAGAAGGTTGAGCAGCTTGCTCAGTCATTTCAGCTGAATCCTCTGGCCACATGCTACAAACCTCGACTGTGGCCATGTCAGCCTTCCTCTGTCTGGAAGCTCTTCTCTCGTCAAAACGTGGCTATTAGCTTTGCTCAGAGCTGCAAAGAGGTAACACAGTGCTGTCTCATCAGTCTGTACCTCGGATATGACATTCTGTGTGAAATCATTTTCTGTCACTGGGGAAAATGTTGACATTTGTGCCATGTGTTCTCTAGGCTGTACATGTTTTTGCACTTGAAAAAGAGAACACATCTTTGGGTCAGAGGATCTACCTGGTTACCAGTTACAGTGAACTGTGGCACTACTACAGGTAAATATCAGCTTACACATAAAATGAGGTGCATCTCCTTTTGGAACAAAATGCAGTGATGCGCACTGATGGTGATTTGTTTCTTGATTTCTTTTCAGGACCTACCCTCAGTCCTTGATGCACTGCTATGAGGTGATACCAGAGGGCGCTGTGTGTAAGCTTTACTTTGACTTGGAGTTCCACAAACCCTCAAACGAAGGAGCTGATGGGAAAACTATGGTGTCTTCTCTTATCCAGGTAGGTTACATTTTTGTCTCCATTCACATTTTATCTTACTACTTTCTGTTCAAGCATATGTGTTTTAGTGAGCAGCTAAATATTAAATTTATTCAAATGATACAAAACAGATATGAGAGGCTGAAAAAGCATGTTTTAAATGCTTGAGAAAAAAAATGGCACAATTTATCAGTTAGAAAAACGTTGCCAATTATTGTTTTTTGGTTTTTAACTAATTGATTGTTTGACTGATGATTGCAGCTGTAATTGACTTGACATTTAATCAGCAAGTGAAAACATAGACCCAGTAATAAACCCAAAATTAAACGAGGCATGAAAAAAGAGAGAAAGGCAACAAAGAGCAAAGGTGATCCCACTTTGTCACCCTGACAACCCATTTCCTGTATGCAGTATATTTCATCATGGTGATACTGTGAGATATATATTCAAGTATAATAAAAATTACAAGTTTATCAGCTTGAATAAGAGTCACTGTTGCTTCAGATGAGCAGAGGATAATTAGTAAAGGGTCTGTTTCTAGATTAGGAATAATTTCAAAAATGCTAACCTGCCCTAAAGATTGCAGTATATACAAGTATAATTTCCTGTTTTGTTTGTCGACAGTACGTCTGTGACAAGCTAATGGAGGTTTATGGGGTTGCATGCGCCACAAAAAACATCCTCAATCTTGACTCCAGCACAGAAGAGAAGTTCAGTCGTCATCTTATCTTCAACCTCCAAAATGCTGCTTTCAAGGACAACACACATGTTGGTATGTTCAGTGTTGAATATGGGCAGCAAAAACAGTTTTTTTATATTTGCAAGTTGTTCATATGTACTGAATTAATTTTTTTATTTTAATCTTTTTTTCTCAGGTAGGTTTATTCAAGCAGTTCTTCAGCCAGTCCTGGGTGTTGGGATGAATTCAGTGGTAGAAAACAGTGAAACACGGTCTGTTTTTCATGCTTGTGAAAACACTCATTTTAACTTTTCTGCTATCATTACTGTGTGCAACTTGTAACTCAATGATATGCGGACAGCAGAACATGTGCTATTCCTGAGGAGAAGCCAGCAAAGGCAGATAAGGTGCCAGAAAGTCCACAGATCAAGAAGCGTAAACAGGAAGAGAGGGACCTCAGATTCCTCCAGGTGAAAAACAAGGATGGTCAAGACTGCCTCTTTGTGGATCTTAGTAAGCCCAACCAGAAGCTTTCACATATCATTTTTGTCAACCTTGTATGTACATATGAATATAGTGTAATTATGGTTATAATTTACAAAATCAGGCGTTTACACCAAAAACAGAAATTTCCGCCTTTACAAGTCATCAAAAGTGGGAAAGAACGCTGCGTTCACTGTGGCAGATGACAACAAGTTCACAGCCGAGAAGGGGATCTCTGCAGAGGAAAGCATATTCCTGGCTTCCTTAGTCTGTAATGTGAGGTGAGCATCTTAAATAAATTTTTCTGTGCTGAAAATATGATCTTTATCAAACCACGACAGCAGAGCTTATTCCTGTACATCATCAGTTTCACAGGTCAGAGGATTCTTACCTGGGACGTCCCAGAAAAAAAGGAATCCAAAACCTCAAGGCCTCATCGCCAGCAGCTAGCAGCCACAGATCCAGGTAACACTAAACTGAGACCAAAGGCTTCTCCCAGTGTTATTGTATATAGTCAGTCCACAAATATTAGAAATATTACCAACTTTTAGCTTAATACTTTTCAGTGTACATAGTGTTGATTTCGTACCCCTTTTCTTCCATACTTTACTGGACTTTCGGGCTGCCTGTCATCCCCACACCAAGAAGTGGACGCCTTTGTATTAACGGTGGTTAAAAAGGATGGCATACAAGGAAGTAAGTGTCTTGACTAAGGCAGGATAGTTTTGCACAAGTTGTGTTGTTTCAAAACATTTGATTTTTTTTGAAGAATAATTATACAGTGTTGTATTCGAGTCACTAAACCTCAAGTCTGAGTTGAGTCCCCCTTATCCGAGTTAGTCATCAAGGTCTACATTAAACACAATTGACACAGTTCTCATGATTTTATAATCCAAACTTTCTAACCGTGTATTGCATCACCATGTTGCTCGGCAATTTGACAGATAAAAATCATTTATAGAAAGGCGGAGTGTATGCTTCGATCGACGTGTGCTGGATACAGCATGGTGCAGGTGAACAGGTTTTAATATCAGCATATTATGCCAAATTATTATGGTCTATTACAAAGGGAAGAAAATGAGTCTCCCAACTTCTCAGTCTGAATGCAGTCTGTGCTTGAGTCCAAGTCGTCAGTGCTCAAGTTCAAGTCGAATCAGGAGTCCTGGACTTGAACTCAAGTCAGAGTCTTGGACTCCAGTACAACAATACTCTAATCATAAAGTTGAATCAACACCTTTCAAAATCAGTTTGAACAAATACTGAACCTTCAGGAATGGAGGCTTTAATGCAGGACTGTTGCATTGGAATGCATTAGTTGTACTTAATAAACTGGCCACTGAGTGTTGATCTCCTCAAATTTTGGTTATCTGGGGTAATATCTAGCCATCCTGATGATATGGCTTCAATATTTCTTAGTCTGAAAAGTTACTTATTAGTCAAATGATGGAGCTCAAGTGATCATTGTAGCTGTATTTTTACTTTTAAATATTGCCCAGTCTTATGTGTTGGTATACTGTATACTGCTTAAGCATTTGGGTTATTGTAAAGTATGTGTAATCAAACCCTCCATTGTTGCAGCACATACTGTATCAGTATTGCCAGAACTGCTATGTCTCCTATGTTTATCTCAACAGGCATCAGACGTTGGAACTACTTTGCCTCAGAACAGCTGCTTGTCTATGACATTGCCAAATACCGCTGGTGTGAAAATGTGAACCGGTTTCATCAAAGCAACAACATTATGTATGTAGTGTTTCCCCTTGTGCAGACTGAGTGTGCTCCACCCTTCTGATCTGATCCAATTCTTTTCTGCAGGATTGTTGTGGATCTCAAAGCAGAAGTGTGGTACCAGAAGTGTCACGATCCCGACTGCAGGAACTTCAGGTCCTCAAGTAGGTTACCATAAGAGCTGCCCCCTGACTTTTATTCAGAATAATTCAAAGGTGCACAATCGGTCTGTGGGATAAGCTGCTGCACAGTGGTGGTAATACAACTGGTCTGAGATAAACATTTTTCCTGTAACAGGTTACCCACTGCCACAGGAGATCTGTGTGAGCTACATCATGGCACTGGTTAGTTTGACCTATTAAGTAGAATTTGCCAGGAAATCTTGCCCGTCTTGTATTAAAGGTCAAGGACTGTGTTTTCTGCAACATGCATTATGTATCCTGTTCACTGACAGGATGAAGAGGACCAAGCTTACTTAATGGATGATGCTGGCAACATCGAACCAGGCCGGGCACCAAACCAGGCCCCACAGAGTGTGGTGTGTCCAGAGGAGGAATCTGTCCAAGTCTGGGGAGATGCACAGGATAACCAGGACTATATAAAGAGCCTGGATGACTTTGAAGAAAACAGCATGGAGATCTCTGATCAGCTTCTGCTCAACTGCATGGCAGAGTTTGATTCCCAGTAGGTGAGCTTTGATGTTATTTTGTTCTGGCTGTACAGCATCAAAAAAAAAAAAAAAAAAATACCGGTACTATACAAGTACTCATAAGCATTTATAAGCATTACACATATAATTCCCCTTGACAAAAGACAAAATCTAAATTGTACATTTTTGGAGAAAGTATTTATTTGGTACAGTACATGTAACTCCAGCCCAAAACTGTCCTTTGCCCTTCCATAAGAGTTAAAAAAAACAAACAAAACAAAAAACAGAACAGTACTGTCAGAGTCCTTGACATGATTAGATACTGATCACCAGAATTCAGCAAACATCTGAATTTACTACAGATTGTTCTGTTAAATAGCTTAAAATCATTGTTTCACACAATTGAAATGCTCTGCAGGACCTGAAATTCATTTTTAAGAACCGATAGTGTTAAAACAACCAAAACAGTGACAAAAGATAAGTCAAGCAACATGTTATCAGACGTTTAGCCTACAGCACTGACAAACATGGGAATGCAGGGAATTCCAAAGTATCAGGCATGACACTCTGCGTGCAAATATACCTTTTCAACAGATACACTATTTACAGGTGTAATGATCAACTTAAATAGATAACCAAGACATTAAATGGTCTGGATTATAAATAATTTTGTCACTGTTAAAAGCATAGACCTTTTCTCTCAACCAATAATTAACCCTGTGAAGCCCAACATATAAAAAAAAATAGCCAGAACATTCTAATTTTTTGGAACTGAGATGTTTAAACCTTTTAACAAAATAAAATTCACGTTTTTTATTTGCCATCTATGCATAGACAGACAGTCCAGGCATATAGGAGCCATATTTAGATTATTTTGTGTCACATTTGATACATGGGGCATTTTTGATGATTTTTTTTCTTTTGTTCAGAAACCACACATATCAAATATGATACAAATGGTTTTATAGGGTTAAAGCTACCAGAGGTCTTTCAGGAACTGGACTTCCTATTCATGAAGTCTAACTTTATGGTCAGAAACATTGACACAGTTGAGGCATTGCATAAGTCACATTTCCTCTAGCTGCTTTCAGACATGCACACCTAGACAGGAATTTGCTGGCTATTTCACGTCTAGGGGTCATCTCTGAACAAAGCCCCACGTTGCGTGTAGTTTTACCTGGTCAGATGTAGTCAATGTTCTAACCAAAGGGTACATTTTGGGCTTTGGAGCTTCACTAGTAACAATTGGCAAATTGATCCAAGAGCTTGGAATCTGTGCATATTCTGAGTAATGTGTAGACTTATTTGTAGATCTGTTCTAACATTGTTGGACATGTCAGTACCAGCTAGCAGACCAAGCTGTCTCAAATATGCTGCTTGCTCTCTCTCCAAGCTCTAAGTCTGAACAAGAAGGCAACCGCTACATGTAGCTTGAAAACTGCCATGTCAAAAGGTACCGTGTCTAACAAGGACATTTCTATATATAATTTTTTTAAGCTGTTATTCTGTGGCACCAGATTAATGATAAATAAAGCTTAGTATTGAAACCCTAACTGAAAAAACAAGCATTGGCATTGAAAATAAAATGGCATTAAAAAAAAGTATTAATACTGGAAAAATGACAATTCAGATTTTTGTTGTCAGTGGTTTTCAGTGCCAAGGTTTTTTTCCTTCCAGTTTCACTTTTCTGACATGGAGAAGAGAGTGTGATTTGCATACTCAGATTCATGAGAAGAGGATGACCCCTGAGCCGGCTTCTGTCTGGTGAGCCTGGCCGCATAGTTACTGCAGCAGCTTCCCCAAATTCAACCAGAGCTCTCAAGCTGCTGTGTTTCTGTCTTTACTCACAGAACTGAGTTACGTTAAAGCTAACGTAGCCTAGATGTGAACGGTGGTTCAGGGGAGACGGCCATCCTTTCCTCATGGATCTTAGAATATGCAAATCACACTACTTGGCTCCGCCCCTCAAAGCCCTCCACTCCATGCCAAAAACAAAGAAAATGTTGGCACTGAAAAAGATTAGGTTAACAAAAAGTAAAAGTCAGAAGATTGTCATTTTTCCAGTGTCAATGCCAAGCTTTCTTTTTCAGTGCTAAAGACTAAAGTCATTGATTTGGTGCCATATTATTCTTGTATAAACTAAACAATACAATGAACTAGTCAAGGATATTGTGTAGTTATTAGTCTGTGGTGGTAGGGACATTTTTACCAGATTATTGTTGGCAGAAAAAGGAAGTACACTGATCCACATACTTAAATGTGGTTCTGTGTACTTTAAATGATTGTCATCTTTCCTTACAGTACTCCTTGGTCTCAGCTCACATTTTAATTGTGGCATAAAGTTCATCAATCTGTTTTCTGAAGTGGCTCCGAAGCTCAGCCCTTTTAGCCTTCAGGGTGGGTGTCAGCAGGCCGTTCTGGACAGAAAACATCTCTGGGTGTAATACAATATCTTTCACCTGCAAAGGAATAATGAATGACCAACATTAATTATTATTCATTTGAAATAGAGCTCCAACTTATGATTATTTTATTACTGATTAATCATTTGGTTTATAAAGTGTCCAGAGCCAGTGGTTCTTAAAGGCCATGGTGATATTTTCAAGTTGCTTTTATCTAAACAACAAAAAATTTCAGTTTACTGCTAAATTTGAAATGTGCTGTTGCCATTGGCAAAAGGAAAAACATGATGGCATTTCAAGTCAAACATGGCAGTAGTCACCTGTTCAAAAGACTTGAGTCCTGCTTCTTTTCCCAACTTCAAAATGTCCTCCAGAATGGCCTTCTTCACTTCCTAGAGACAGATGGAAAATGTTAGGCATGTGCAGAGAGGGGGGGCTGTGTTCAGACTGCTGGTGGAAATAAACCGAACCTTGTTATTGCACAGTTCGGAGTAGGATCCTTCAATTCCATTATTCCTGACCCAAACAGGTAAATAGTCAGGATCAGGTACTACTATCGCCACCAGGCATGCCTTAAAAATACAACACAAAAGCATAAGATTGATGCTGCAAATTACCAACTGAGTATTAGTGTAGATAAAAGGTTTGAGCAAAAGTAGTCACTGACCTGTAAGCTATCACCATGAACAAATACCTGGGCCACTGCATCACTACGGTTATAGATGGTTTCTATTTTCTCTGGGGCGATGTATTCTCCTTGTGCCAGCTTGAAAATGTGCTTTTTTCTGTCAATGATCTTCAGAGTGCCATTCTGCAGTCAACCAGAAGAGAACCCTCCCATGAAAACAAGGCTGCAACTGATGCTGTGATTACTCTGGACAACTACACCAAAAGCATCCACCCACACAGCAATAATCAAAGATTATCAGGGATATATTTTTTTTTTTAGCCTGTTCTACTTACAGGAAGCCATTTTGCAATGTCGCCTGTGTGCAGCCATCCATCGGCGTCGATTGCCTCAGCTGTCATCTCAGGTTCATTTAGGTAGCCCCGGAATACATTTGGTCCTTTGACACACACCTAGAGTGAGCGATATAACAAGTCGAAAAGGGCTTTGGCCTTCCAGCAACAGACATTTTCACATTTTATTGTTTTTATTTGTTACATTTCTGGAAATTAACCTCTGTGTGTGTGTGTGTTGCCATGTTAATTTTAATGTTTGTTTTAAGCAATTAAAAGGGGAGGTGGGAGGGAACAGTCAAAGCAATACAGTAACACACACACAGGTTTGTCTGCCTTTAAAATATATCTGTCAGATGTCAGTAAAAATGATTCTTTTAGAACTTTAAGCCATTTAATTTCTACCTGTCACTTTGGGGAATGCTCTCACCTTCTTCAGATAATGAAATTAAATTACATCGTGTGCATGTATTTGATATGAAGCACACTCACCTCTCCCTCTCCATTGACTGCCAGGTAATTCATTTCTGCCACATCCACGAGCTTGATAATGTTGCAGGGTAGAGGAGGTCCTACGTGACCTGAAGACACAAAATAGTTCAGTTTCATGGGTCAAAGAAATATCTGTAGATTATACGCACGTGTTAACATCAGAATGTGCAACAGTTATTGTATATTTTCAGTCACCTGCTGTCCAGTCTCCAGGCACTGACATGGTGCACCCAGCTGTACATTCAGTTTGACCGTAACCTTCAAAAAACTGAGGAGAGCAGTGGAGGTTTTTAGGGGAATTCATAAAAACACAACAGGCCCACTTACTGATTAAAAACTGCCAAACAATCAGTGGGAAGGGTTGGTGGATGCGGCTTACCTGACAGCCCAGAGCGGCTCGTAAAAACGTCAGGATGATCGGGGACACTGGTGCTGCTCCTGTAATCATGAGCTTCACCCGACCGCCCAAACTCGCCTGCGAAGAGCGGAAGAAACAAAGACGAACACAGGCCCTCATCTGTTAAAACCTACAGCGAGTTCACATATTTAAATGACTAAGGAATTTGTCACATGGTTTTTTTTTTTTTTTAACAAGAAGTAGAGCTTTACGAAATGTGAAATTTACCTGTACTCTTCTAAAGATGAGTTTATCCCACATGCTGTCCTGTCTCATCACACCACTTTTCAGCTCTGCCTCCTTCCTCCTGAAGGCAAAATCAAGCAGCCATCTCTTCAGAGGTGTATTGGCTTGACTAAATACCTGTAGAGAATTGGGAAATAAGGGACCAAAAAAAAAAAAAAAAAATCCAGAATAAATTATAGGCAGAGAAGAACATTTGATTTTAAATATAAAGAAAGAAAACGGTGAATCATCTGGTTCAACGTGAATAACCTTTGTCTGACCTTATCGAACATGCGGTTGAGGAGACGAGGGACCACAGGGAAGATTGTTGGCTGCAGTGTTTTCAAATCATCCATCAAAAGGCGAATGTCTCCTTGGAAGTAGCCAATTCGAGCTCCTTGGGTGAGGACGAGGCTCTGGTGATGAGAGGATTGCTTGTTTTGGCTTGTGCAAGTTAAATCAGTATGAAGTTTCAGTCAGAAAGGGGCGTTGTCCTTATTCATTGTTTGAAATATTCTGATACCTGCGTTGATGGGATACTCAAGTTTCAGTACTGTTAATACTGTGACATAACTTATTTAAACAAAACCTTTTATGTATGTACATTTCTTAAATGCACATTTTCTTCAGAATTGTTATTTAAGTATCTGGTCAAAGACCAAATAAAGATTAAGAATGTCACTGAACATTGAATGTGAGTTTTTGTTCATTAGTTCTATAGACAAAGGTAAAAAGTACTGAGATACAGTATCCAACCCCCAAAAAAGCAGAAATTTGAAGAAAATCACTGACATCAAAAGAAATTAGCAGGACACAGGTTATCTACACAGGAGGATTGGGGCCATGGTAAAAATTTTGATTTAAACTCAGAATTATGACTTTAAAGCTCACTCTTGAAAAAGTCAAATCTGAGATTAAAGTCAGAATTCTTCAAAAAAAAGCCAGAACTGATTTTTTTTTTTGTGGCCCTAATCTTCTGTTATCAGTATTACCAAACCTCTGACATACAAGCTACTCATTTTTTATTAAAATCTTCTTACTCTATCATACATTTTAAGGGATCACAAAGAAATATTTAATATTAATAGTAAAATATCACAGTATTTCTGAAAATAACTGACTTATCAGTATGGAACAAATATGAAGGTAAACATCCACAACATACCTCTACAACCCTCTCAAACATGTGGGCTAGGGGGAGGTAAGATATTTGAATGTCATTGAAGTTCGCCATGCAGTGCATCTGTGGAGGATAAATGAAACAAAACACATGCGGGTCACTCATGGGGTACCATACCTCCACCACCCTCTCAAACATATGGGCCAAAGGGAGGAACGAGATGAGTACATCTTTGTATCCAGGGCTCAATGAGGCCCAGCGCTAGAGGAACAGAGACAGGAAAGTGTGACAGGCATTTTTAGATTTAATTAGGGACCACCAAACAAACCAGTGCTCACATTTAATTTGGTCCAAATCTCACAAATGCAAGGGTGGAGATTTGCTGTCAGAAGTCAGGTAAGCACACTTCAGTTTAAGTTAAAAGTGGTTGGATGCATTTATTTACAATTGTCTAGCAAATCAGTTAAACAGTTCTAATTCAAAGGTGACTTATTTGTATAAACAACTCATCTGGATTATAGGGACACTTCAGGGAGATCTTGGTGTGTAAATGTCAAGCAGAAGAAAAATGGTGAGGGACAACTGGGCACTTGCATAAATTAATTTTAAATATTAAGGAAGATTGCATATTCCTGAAGGAAGAGAAGAAGAAACATCCATCTTGAAACGAGAACTTGAATCAGATGTACATTATACTGTATGAGGGTCAAATTTCAAAGTTGAACTGGTGCGTTTATTTACCTCTGTTTGTCTCATGAAAGCTGCAGTGTTGGAGATGACATTTCCATGAGTAATCATAGCACCTTTTGGATTTCCTGAAAATCAAACAAACTTTATGATGCTACATGATGCAAGAAATAAAAATCTAAAAGGTACAAGTAGCAGCAATGTGCGAGATTACCTGTGGTTCCAGATGTAAAGCAGATAAGTGCGAGGTCCTCTGGCTTAGGGGGCTGTAATCAGAGCACAGATCGACACTCATGCACATGAATCCTGAAGTGTGTGTGATGCCAAATTTTTATGGAGGAGCAAAAACCTAGTTTTCATTTTAGACAGTGTCCTGATGGCTACAAATAAATGCTGCAAGGTAAAAATTGGATTCTCAGTATAATAAGATGCAAGAGCGGTGGATTGTTTGTACTCACCACTGGTTTCTGGAGGTTGGCTTTACCCAAGGCCTGGGGAAAAATACAAAAGGTGAGATATAATGTGTCTGCATGAAGTGCTGGCAATAACCATGCTTTACAGAGACAGACAGCCTGGTCCTAACCAGAGCATGGCTGAATTACAAAAGCCTGTTTTCCCAAAACATCTGCATGCAGATGTGCTCAGTAGATAAAAGTTGTATTATACTACAGAAAAAAAAAAATTGTTAAACTTTTTGACATCCTGGGAAAGAAAAAGAAAAAAAGTTATTATTACCTCAAACTCCTTCAAACTCATGACTTCTACACCACATTTCTGTCCATGGGTCACAAGGTCACTGTCAAATGCCTCCATGAGCACAATTGTCTTGACCTTTCGCCCTTTCCCAGTGACACAATCCAGGATCAGCCGAGCCTTTTCAGGTACATCGCAAATCACCGTGGAGATGGTAGCTGAGAACAGATGGCACTAAATTAACCAAGAATTTGTAGTAGTGTCCTTAAATCTAAAACACAGTTGGTGTGAGGTCAGTATACGAAGGCACCCTCTTGTGTACCTTTCTCAATAATGTAGGTGACGGCCTCTGTGCCGAGTGTGTCGTACAGTGGGACTGCCACCATGGAGTATGTGTAACAGGCCATCTCTGAAATGGTCCACTGAGTGATAAAAAACACACACAGTCAGGATGTAGACGATCATTACTAACAAAAAATAGGTCCAAAAATGTCCTAGGAATATCTTTGTGATACCATGTAAACCAATACCAAATGGTGGCAGGTATGCTTTTTTTTTTTTTTTTTACCTCTGGTCTGTTCTGGGAAAAAATACCAATGTACTTGTCTCCTGTATGCGAGTGTCCTCGGTGAAGGAGAGCAGAGCCGATGTACTCCGCTCTGTCAGCCACCTGTGTAAAACAAAAGGAGCTTGTAGTAGTTGTGCACCGCGAAAAAGCAGGATGCCAATTTTACATGACCATATCTTACTTCTCTATAAGATTGCCACTCGTACGGCTGGTTTGGTTTTCTTGATCCTAGACAAGGCCCGTTATCTGTGTGAATAAACAAAGCTCGCATTTATCGACATTCAGTGGAAAAACTGGGGCCAGATGTCTTCAGGGAATCCCATATCTAACTGATATAAGCACAGCACTCACTCGATACTCTGAGCCCTCGCTGGAACACCTCGTACATTGTGCGTACGTCACTGTAGTAGTGCGTCATGCTTTCGTCACTATCGTTCAGTACTGATCTTCTCGCGCGTTCTCCACCCTATGAGAACAATTTAAAATAATGTTATGACCACACCTTCCACACCTCTCACTTGTTATTCAGGTTGTCAGTGAGAAGACGGAGAAAAGTGATTTATTTTGGGTTATGTCTACACATGTAAACTCAGCACTTTGTTAGTAATTTGGTTTATCTTCTACACTCAGTTCACAGCAGAGGCACTATACAGTAAGTTCAATAAGTCAGGATTCTCATTGGACGGCGTGCTCGTTTCAGTTTTTAAAAGGGGTTTTAATCCATCAAGTCTGAAAGTAAACAAGTTGATTTTTATGTAGATTCTCTGGTGTGCTTGTCTGGAGGTCAATGGGCAGTAGTCCATGAAAGAAAGAAAAAGGTTAGTGGAGGATAAAACACCAGCCAAAGGAATTCTTCACAACCTGGCAGCTTCTTCATGGCTCAAATTACGCTTTAGTCAATAATTAGCCACATGTAAAATCCTTAATTACAACTCAAAGTGGTACAGAAAAAAATATTTAAAACTGTCAATAAAGCTCATTTTAGTTCACAAACTTTTTAAGCACCTTAAAAATGACATGAGAATTCCAAAGCACCAAATTTGAAGAAGTGCACTGACATCAGCTGTGATAAAATTCCTGTAGTGA